CATTATTGGACAGCTCAACATGCATGGAGGAGAAAGCTAACAGACAGTGGCACTGGCTAGCATAATGCTGAGAGATGGTGGAGACAGAGGGCCATCCCACACACTCATCCCAGCCACAGAAGGCTGTGGCTCCACCGGAGATCAAACTTGCAATCTCAGTTCAGTTCATTAATAAGCTGGTGAGTTGAGATCTTTATCAACAGAACCGATATGAAAGGTCACTGTGTCATTAATGTTTGTTTCACATTGTGCAGTAGAAGAAAAAAAGAAAAATAAGCCCCTCTGAAGATCAGTATTCATTTATATTAAAGATGAACCATATCTGTGCAGCAATTTAGCAAGTACAGCATAGCATGTTACCCTGTTGTCTCAGCCTTGAGGGCTTAATACTTTATAATGGTGTATAATATTTAATGAACTGTATTTTACTGACTTGTGCTTTCTTCTCTATAAAAGCTACTGTAAATGTGTACTATCTATACCATGTAGTATGTAGCATGTGATGTAGTATAGTATAGTACAGTATAGTATATCTGACTGGCTGATAAGAGAGACTATTTGAAGATATTGTAATATTTATGTTACAGATATTTCCAGTTATTTTTTACTGACATAAAGCACTCTGCTGTATGTTAACTAATGTGGTTGTTTTTGTTTTTTTCTATTTTTGTAGTCAACTTGTGACCTTTAGTTTCCATTGTTCAGCATTTTTTTTATTTTGTTATTTTTTAATTTTTGAAACTTTAATTTATAATTAAAAATAATTTAAAAAAAAAGATAATTAGATGTGATGTTTACAGTGGCATTAAGAAAAGCCCACCGAACTTTCTCCTCATCGAGAGTCATTCATAGTGGTTTGGTGTGAAATGCTCTGTACTAGAAAAACTTACTGAGTCAGAATTGTTCACAGTAGTGGTGATAGGAACCAGATGTCTGAAGAGTTTAATGTCTCTAAAAGTTTCCTCACAAAGTCATTATGAAATGTTTATGTAGACAGTGCCTGATGCCTGAGACATTCTTTTCTGATAAATTTGAGAAGGGTTTGGCCTTAAACACACTTTCTAATATCCATTAATGATAGAAAGGTACATGCAGTGTACAATGAGGCAAAGAAAAACCTTTTTTCCCCAATTATTCACTATTTAATCATTATCAACATTGTGATGCCTGGTTCCTATCACCACCACAGTCAAGAAATTTGAGTTGGTACGCTGGAAACATTTGCACAATAAAACATTTCAAAAGGAATTAGGAACTAAATATTAATGACTAAAACGGGTCTGAGGAAAAAAAAAGATTACTTAATTCTAGTACTAATAGACCATCAACCCCTTATGATTACTAGTACACTCCTGCGCAAAAATAAAAAAAAAAAACCTGGCAAAGCTCAAAATTTTAAAACATTAAGCTTTTAATGGTTTTAATAACAAATAATTAGTCAGTAAATTAGCAAGAATTAAACTAATAAAGTAACTTGGTATGGGATATTTTTTCCTTTGTAAAAGCCTTTAGTATTTTGGGCTCATTTTTTGCACTGGAGTGTATATTTGACTTGTAACAGTAAGAGTACAATTTCAGCAATCTTTTACTTATAACCACAAAACTAAGGAAATAGAGTTACTCCCTAAGCTGATGGCCACAAGCTATTTGGTTGTTATAAGCTATAATTAGACTATCCGTTCCTGTTTATCACGTGGCACTGATTGTCTCACTGCTATAGACACAGTCACACTACTTCAGGCCTTCAAGTTCAATTTTTACAATACTTTTAAGCTTAACACTGGCACACAAGAATCAGTTCCAGAGGGTAATCAGAAGGGTCAGGAGAATTAATGTTGGGCCAGAAACATATTGGGCTGGTTAATGTGGGCTAACAACATATAAAAATCCACAAGTGCACCACAGAACACACAAACTGTTTGTGGTCTCAGTTTGCCAACTGTAACTGTTCAGCTACTGTGTGGAGAAGAGTGAGACTCACAATGAAAAGAGATCTGCCCACCAAGTTTACAGTGGTGATATAAATCAGGTGCTGGTTTACACAACAGACTGGTTCTTCCACAATAGCTAATAAATAAGGAGCAAAAATAATTAGAAGATGAAAATGACCTGATGTTAGTAACTAATTTGAACACAGTGGCTTGTGTTTGAAATTCCCCTTCTCTCCTGGAAGGGCCAGTGTCATGACTGAGGCTTTGTTTTTTTTAACTGATTTCACTTAGTCGTCCAGGTAAGTGCCTGCCTCGATATCACTGAACTGGGTAACTATCGCTTACACAATCAAAACATTTCTCCTCTGATACACATCAGGAAAGCATTTTACGTCAATTCATTTGCTCCGACTGAGTTATGCAGATCTGACCTCTACTGGACACAAACCACAATGCACCAAATAAGGTCTCCATTTTCTTTCTTTTATATTTTAGGGTAAGTTTACATTTCAACATAATCCACCCATTTGAGAGGGTGGGGTAAGCACCCTTATTTAAATCAGCATAAAAGTAAGGAATGAACGCAGACAGCCAACAGTAAAAATAAACTCCAAAGTCTATCATGGCTCACAGATAGAGAGGGTCATCCAGCTTTAGCATAAAGCTCACAATGTTGAGTAACTGTCACCAGTAATAAATCTGAGTGCTGAGTGATAATCATAGTCCAAAGACTCGACCAGTTTGGCAGGAGTACCACAAAACAGGCCTGAACTCATAACAAATGATTTGTTGTTTTTTTTTTTTTCATGATTGTTAATTGTGCGTCAACATTAACACATAAGGACACAATGTTTTTTTCTTTTTTAATCTGTTTCAGTTTCGATTTTTTAGCCAAACCAAATCGTAACAAACTCTCAGAACAGAGGACAGCGCTGACACTGAGAGCATTGTGAGCAGTAAATGTGAGGAGCATTAGTGAGGTCAGGTGCTGATATGGGATGAACTGGATTATTTGTGGTGTACAGATGAAACTAATAACTTACAAAGAACTCCAAGTGGTATATCACCCACTATCACTGCTGAAATACTCCCATATACACATTTTACCATGAGCATTTTAATGTTATTTTTTCAACCCACACCATCAATGTGTCATTAAACTCTGTTTACTAGAAATTGCTTCATGGTATCGATCATATGCATCAGCGTCCCCATCATTTAACCCACACTGCGTTTACATGCTAGTATTGGTGCTGACACTAATATGACATTTACATTATTATTATACATATTCCTTTTTTAGTGTTTAATTTCATTCATACATTTTGTATTAGTGACAGCATTTGCTTTTGCTTACACCTCTCACTATCCAGCTTTAGCATTTTATTTTAGACCACAAGGATTCAAAAAAAGAAGAATAGAAAACAAAAAATATCAGTTCCTACGATGATAAATGCTGGATGTGTTAAGTTCCACTGCAGTTCTACAAATGACTCAGTACTTAAGTGGCTTGTTGAGCTGCTACTTCTGTACTTTTATTCAAGCTGTTTTTTTGAAAGGTCCTACCTTTTTGAGAAGGCAGTCGTTATTGCACTGCAGAAACAATACTTACACTGGAGAATGAGTTTAGCCGACTCTGTATATACATCTGTGACTACAGGCAGCAAACCATTTCTGGCACAGACTCTATTTGATTTGCCAGAGGAAACGAATGGCTTGTATTTGAAACTCCACATTAGGCTTTTTCAGACAGTGAACAATTTGTTACATCACAGTTAAAGGTGTCAAATTAAACTGCTCTGTCCTTTAGGGCCCATATTATAGAAAACCTCACTTTCCTTGCTTAAAAACAGTTTGATGCAGTATGTAAACATCGTTAAGGTTTCAAAACATATTGTTTACTCCACAGTCCATTTATGGAAACTAAACTGCAGTTTTGCCCCACCTATTCACAGTGAAGTTATAAGGTGTATTTCAGTCCAGACTTCTTTTTGAATGACCCACAACACAGAACAGCCAATCAGAACAGAAGTCATTTACATGGATCGGTATGTACATATAACTAACAAAAATGTGCCTTGGATTTAAAGAGTGTGGAAATTATGAGTGACTAAAATATGAGTAATTAAAATCATAGAAAGCAATGACAGAGATTAAATTTTAAAATTGACACACATTTTCAAATGTTTCTGGAAAGTGTACGCTGAGCTTGACTGTCTAATAAAAGGTGAAATACAGCTCAACAGTTTAGAAGCATAATAACTGAAAGAGCCTCTCCACGTTTTCAATATTTTACAGAAGGTATATGCAGAAGGCCACTATCTGCAGATCTAGGATCACGTGTTGGAACATAAACAGACAGACACTCTGTGATGAAAGTGGGTCATTTAGAGCCTTAAAAACAAGTAACAGAATTTTTAAATCTATTTTGAACGATACAGGCAGCCAGTGCAGTTCTTTCAAAACAGGAGTGATGTGATCTCTCTTTTTATGTTTTTGTTAGGATGTGCGCTGCTGCATTTTGTACAAGTTGTTAGGGATATATAGTTTTCTTAGGAAGTGCAGTAAGAAGAGCTTTACAGTGATCAACTCTGCTTCTAACAAATGCATGAACAGGTTTCTCTACATCGCTTTGAGATAGAAAAGGCCGAACTTTAGCGATATTTCTCTAATGATAAAAGCTACTTTAGTGACTGCTTTTACATGTGGGGAAAAAACAGCTCAGAATTTAACATTTCACCCTCCGTTTTGTACTTCAGGTTTGGTATATAAAGCAAAAGAGCCGAGCTTTTCATAAAGCAGCTTTCTCTGAAACTTAGTAACACAAACCAGTATTTCAGTTTTTCATGATTTAGCTGTAGAAACATTTGTTACACCTATGAGAAATTACTGACATACAACTAGTGCGCCTGTCAAAAGAGTCTTAAGTTTGGAATGAAAGGAAGGAAGGAATGGAAACGTATAATTGTGTGTCATCAGCACAGCTATAAAAATTTATATCATGTTTCCTAATGACGTCACTTAGAGGTAACATGTACAAAGAGAAAAGCAAAGGCCCTAAAACGGAACTCCACAAGAAGTATTTATTTATTTAAATTTTTTAATGAATGATCTGCCAGGAATGTATTTTAAAAAATACCAACCACATCTCGGAACTACCATAAAACAGGATCTGCTTCGTCTCACCACTGTTTGTCTGGAACACAATGTTTCACATAAAACCACTCTGATTGACTTTCTTTACATCTTAAAGATTTAATTGCAACATTTTAAATTTAGAAACAAAATTGATGTAATTCTTCTTTAATTGAACTGAAGTATATCAGCACTCAATTCATGTAAATATAGGTCACGGCAGCAGTTTGATAAACATCTGCAATAGTGTCACCTAATGGACATTAGAAGGAATGCAACAAAAAATCTTTATTCTCATTGATTTTCCTAGGTCATCAATTACTTATACCAGATGAGATATACCAGCTAAAGCCTTCATATTTAACAAAGAATGAGATTCTTGCCTTCAGACACACACACCCACACACACACACACACACACACACAACCTGTCTGCACAGCATCAATGCACAAACAGTGCATAAGCAGTGCACGGAAGATACACATACATGTTCTTAGATTCACAACATAATGAGCCTATTCACAGATGTAAATATTTAATTATTTAATGTCTAAACACACTGTAAGCCCTCTCCCAAAAACGCAGTTTTACCATCCTAACCATCAATAATAACACAGATTAAATCAAGCCATCAAAATGAACATGACTGTCTGTAAAAACACAGCAGTCAACATTAAATTATTTAATTCTATATGTATAATATCTGAGATTTAGTAAAGTTTGATGAATTGTTTAATATTATTTATATTTGTTTCACTATTAACATTAAAGTGAAATTGTATAAAAACAGTGAAGACACGCCGTTGCAGCTGAATGCATGTTGGAATGAAAACCTGCAGATGCAGAAGTCCGTTTTTGGAAACCTCCTGAAGCAGCAGACATGTGCCTGTTTCTCTTTATGATGGACGTCCATCGTTTGACTTTTTCGTTTTTTTATTCTTTCGCTCTCCTGCTGACCCCTACCTGACCTCTCCTGTTTATGACCATCAACCCCTTAAGTAGCTTTAGCTGAGAGATCTCTGTGTGATCTCTCGTTTTTCTCTCTTCCTCACTCTCACGCTCCCTCTCTTACTCAGTCTCAGTAATTGACCAGATGGTGGCGCTATAGTTCAGTGCGAGAGCGGGAAATGCGGGGGCCTTTCCGCATCTCTTTCCTCTTCTCTTCTTTCCTCCTTCTCTTCTGCTCTTCACGCAGAAGCTTCTGGAAGGCCTCTGCGGTGTGGAGCACCTGAGAGAGAGAGAGAGAGAGAGAGAGAGAGAGAGAGAGAGAGAGAGAGAGAGAGAGAGAGAGTGTAACCACTATGAATTACTCAGTATCTACTATGAATTATTATCTATTAGTATCTATTATGACTAATTCAGTAACTAATATGAATAATTCAGTATCTACTATAAACTGTTCAGTAACTACTAAAGATTATTCAGTAAATATTATTAATTATTCTGTAAGTACTATTAATTATTAAAGATTTGCTATGAATCTCCAAGACTCACATCATCTCTCTCTGTGCGGTATGGGTTTATAAAGTCAGGAGACTTCTCTGTGATCCCCAACTCCTGAGACATCTGAAACAGAGATAATATGCAATTTAACTTCCGTCATTCAAATTTAACTTATGCACAGAAATTCACAACAGATAGATGAGCTACAGTCAGTTAAGAGAAAATGTAAACTGAAAGTGAAATTTTCAACTTGAATTAACTCTAGTGGAATTGTGAATATATTCAGTTAGGACAATACGAGGCAATATGGCTTTTGTTGTCATTTTAAAAATCCCTCTGTAATGGTTTATAATGTTCATATGATCCACACATTCTAATACATGGTAATAAATGTCTTTGATTGCTCTGCTGCACCATAAACAAAGAAATCGCATGTTGCACGGACAGAACTTTGAATGATGGCAGTGGAAAAATCAGACAAACTAAAAAACACCAGTTCTGGCACAGAATGAAGCTTTTTTTAAACTCTAGCATGTAAACATTAGTTTGCTCCACTGTTTCTCCATATGTGGGAATTTAGCTGAGTTGTGATGGTTCCTATAAGCTATAGCGTAAGCTTCCAACCTCACTGGTTAATGCCAGTGTTTTTAAAAGAAAACACAATGAGAAAATGTCAGAAAGACATCTACGCCTAGCACTGTAAAAGGCAGGACTGTAGTTAATTAGGCAATGCTCCAGTATGCTGTCAGTTGCTGTATTTACAGTTAAATGCTATAGCTAAGCAGCTGATTTATCATGTTGGTGGTGGTTATCTTCACTACAATGATCATTTTCTAATGACTAGTTGGTGCTTGATGTCAACATGTCTCATCATGTCTTACTGCTAGCTGGCTGGCCAGGCTGTAAACCCCCTATAACATGAAATTCTTCTCACCAGTGTGAGGACGTGTTGGTGAGGTCCCTCTGTAAACACTCCGGTTAGGTTACAGAACCTCAGCCCCCAGCGCAGCAGCCCACTCCACTCTGCATTACGGTCATAATAATGATGGACGATCCGCGGGAACCGCAATGCAACGTCACCAAAAAACGCTGTGTTCTCCACCACATGGGAGTATGCTGGAGAGAGGAGAGAAAGGGAGTGGGGGGGGGAGGGGGGGGGGAGTAAGAGTCACAAAGAACATTAAATGATTTTTAATAATGTTTTTGTAATCCATCACAAAGATAACTGTGTATATAATATATAATATTGAAACTAATATGCTAAAAATAAAGAAGTGCGCTAACATCTACTTCTCAAAGAGAACAAAAAAACAAGCTTCTACATGAAGATTATGGAGCCTGTACACAGATCTCAGCCTTTACCAAGAAGTCTTAACTTTTCTTAGCAAACAGATGATTGTTTAATGGTAGATTGAGTATTACACTAAACCCTCTCTCTACCAGTTAAGATGATCTTAACTTAAGATTCGTTTGGGTAACTGGTTCCTGATTAGCTGAAATAGTGAAACACCTAAACATGCAGGGCAGGAATACTCCAGGGGCAGTTCTGGCAACAACTGAACTATCTGACAGTATACTGTCTCTATCAAGTGTTTCAGTTGTTATCTTAATATTTAAACCATTACTAAATGTTAATGTGAGGTTTTGGTTAATTGCTATGTGATGGTTTAATTCTTAGGTCTGTCCTAACAGATTGTTTATGAATGATTTAGTTATTAGGTATTAATTAAGACTTTTTGACATTATCAAAGACTTCAATAAATTGCTCATTAGTGCTTAGTTCTTACTGTCCCAATTGTTGAGTCACATTATACAACAGTTAGTTCTGGTCACGCAAGCTGATTGGTTGAGAAGCGTTCTAACTGTGCTGTTATTTCGCCATAACATCAGATGCCGTTGCTAAGCAACGACTTTGATAGGAGACACTCAAGCCATTTGAATGTTTTTACTTCTTACTTTGTGCACAAACAGAAAATGGATACTTTTAAGATCACATTTGACCGACAGCCGATTTAGTCAGACTCTGAAGATGAGACTACTCTAAATTCCCAAACTGTCATTACCACTGAGCAGCTTTTCAGTCGACAGCTGTGACAGAAAAACAACCTGGAATTAGCCAGAAATGAACCGAATACCATTCGCCAAACGTGTAGTCTCATCTTCAGAGTCTGACCAAATTGGACTGAGCCATAAAACAAAAAAGCTTGCTCAGTGGTGATGACAGTTTCGGAATTTAGTGTAAGGAGCTGGGGAATGAACTACCGGCTGTGCAATGAGTGAGTGGAGCTTGTTACTGTGACGTAGCAACAAGCTGCTTGTTAAGGAACTATAATTTGGCGGAAGGAATTGCTGACATTAAAACATATTAAATGACACGTTCTCAGCCCAGTTTATTAATTTCTTACTTTATTTATTTAACTGTTGTATAAAAGCAATAGAACACTCCAGGTCATGTGTCATTGCGATATAACATCATGGCTGTGATGTTATTTTGCAATAACACACTCCCTCTCGTGTTCTATTCCTTAATTAATTAACACATTAATAAAACACTTAATGAAATCTAAATATGTTAGTTATTATTACTATCATTAGTAAATGATTGAGATTTTACTGAACCATTTAGCATGTTTCCATTTGCATCATTAGTTAATGATTACTTGCGACATTACTTAACCATTTAGCAATGCACTTTGCTCTCTTTCATACCATTAATAGATGTACTCTAACTGTAAATTGTTCCCAAATCTGACTGATTAACTGACACCTATTGAAACATCATAGGTCTGACAAAAACTCACCCTCTTTAATTTTGTCATCTAGTGGGAAAGGATCATCCGGCTGCATGTTAGCAGCTACCAGAACAGCTCTAGAATCCTCCAATACCTGCACACACACAGTTTCATGCTGATGATGCACATTGTTATTGTCCTTAAGAGGACTAAGACAGCGAGTGTTTCTAAAACCAGTCCTCAGAGAGCCCCGGTGAGCCTGTGATTCTCCTGTAATTCAGCTCCTGACACACCTAAACAAGCCATTAAGAAGACTGAACACCTGGTTCAGGTGCACTGGGAGCTGGATTACAGCAAAAACACAGACTGTCTGGGGAACCAGGTTGAGATCCACTGATCTAAGTCATGACACTACACTTAGAAGAGAGAAGGTAAGTAGAAAGGAGAGAAAAAAAAAAAGAAAGAAAATGATTTTTTTACTTTGAAAAGTCCCTTCAGCATGATGTCAATGATCTTGTACTGCTGGTTGACGTCATTAAGCTCCACCAGGTTCTTCAGAGCGTTTAGCTGATCCTTCCTCTTCGTCTCAAACAGACGCTTATCTGATAGACACTCAGGAAGAAGTCAGTGTTACTGAAAATGTTGAGAATGATCCACCACTCACTTAATACCTGCTCAGTGGTGGTCCTGTGATGGTCCCTTTCTACTGATGAACAGGCTGAAATTGGGCAAATTATACAGGGAAACAGAAGGGCTACAATTTGAAATTGTGGGTTATAAAGTGCAGCTTAATACTAAGCGAAACAATTATATGTGCATTTTGTGCATCTAATAATGCATCAATGTGATTTTATAGTGTCGGTGCTACCTGTAAGTAGCCAACTAGACAGATTAACAGTATAGGACAATCATTGCAAACTACACATTTGAAACACAAGTACATGTGAGGATACAGATTTCCAGGTTGGAGTCGTGTCGGTGCCGGTGTGTGTGAGGGTCCGAGTCTGTGGAACACACAGCAGTGATTGCTGCCAGCAGCAGCGCGGTGCACACACTCAGCATGGCCAACAGGGGGAGACACACATACACTCCAACTGCCTGTAACAAACAATCAGAGAGAAAAAGACACTCAGTAATTTATCTAAAGCAGCAAATTTCTAGTGAGGAGAACTACCACTCAGTAATGTATTCCGGGTTTGGTCCTGAGTGAGTCCAAAATTAATGGGTTCCTGTGGAGCTTTTGTGCAAAATCATAAATGCTTTTATATGGAAAATGCAGCAATTTTCTGAACACAGAACATCCTAAAACATTTCAACGCTGCTGTTTTGGGCACTTTTGAACTACAGTTTTAGCACAGTGCCTTGTGTTTGTTCATGACATCAATAAGCACTAACCCCTTCACGCAGCCAATGAGCTGATCAGCTCACCAACCAATCAGCACTCAGTAGCAGTACTGCTGTGTCCTAATGTCCAAAACCTGTTTACTGTAGAAAAAAATGGAAAAATATTGGTAAGCTTTCTTTCATTTTTTTCATAGAATACATAAATGTAAATTCCAAAATTAAAGGAAGTTCTCACAATAATGTGTAGAAAGAGGTTTCATTTCTTGCTTTTAACTTTTTAGCTCCCTTTGCTCCCATTTCCTGAGGACATGCTGGTGGATGTTTTGCAGTCATGTTTTTAGTATAAAGGGTAAAAAAGAAGTGACCAGACAGCCTTTAATCTGGCTCTGGCTAAAACACTAAAAACTCACTTTGTGAACTCACTAAAAACATTCACATTGTCTTATTACACATACTGACTTATTACACACAAACATTTACTAATCATCTGTAATTTTTCTGATCTTTTTGCCTTGATTCAAATTCATGTGTGCGATTGACCCATATCTGTCTAGTGTGCCCTGGAAACACATGTATGAGCATACACAGAGAACCGTGTATGATCATTCTCATTTTGGTTGCCATGGTCACGTACCATATGTATATTATCTAGGGGCACAAGGATCAAATCAAAAAAAAAAAATCATTCATACAGCTAGAAAATAATCACGTCTGTGTCACATTTAATCTGAAAACTGAATTTGAGTTGTAAGCCTTAAGTCTGACCCTCACTATAGAATAATCAGGCAGATTCTGAAGCCAATTTACACGCTCTCATCATGAAAGGTGTCCTGATTTCAAGCAGGTTATAATCAATTATTATCCCAGACTATCCTGTAGTTTAAGTGTGTGTTTAATCTTTACCCCTCGGCTCAACTCACAGTCCAATCAGAGCTGCCCCGATTTACACTTGCAAACTCAGCATCTCATATGAAACACAGCATTCACACCATGCATGAAAAATTGTTAAACAATGAGAGCCAATCTGAATGGAGAGCTGAGCTGAATGCAAGAATAAAAGTGTACAAAAAGAATCAAAATATATTTCCTTTCACTTTTATACTGTCAAATGTACAACACTACCACAGTAATCTGTGTCTTGCTGTCGTCTGCCATGCTTGTTCATGAGAAAAGTTTCTGACCACCAGGTCCTGACCAGTGATAGATGGGCTACAGTGTGTAAGTGTACCTGTATATTAGACACATAATGAAAAGGAGTTATAAGATGAGATAAACTTGAAGAAAGTGATTTTTTGGCCTCTACTCGGAAAATACTGAGAGTGAGAGAGAGGGAGAGAGGGAGAGACACCCTTGCACACTTGCGCTCTATTAAAAGCTACTCGTGCCTGGCAGTGTTGTGTGTTGGACGATGACACTCAACTACCACGTCCACACACTCTACACACACACAATGGGAGAGAGAAAAAGCGAGAGAGAGAAAAGGGAGGAGGGAGAGAGTCTCCCACGTCCCGCTCTGCTACAGAGCCGACCACAAAGCAGCTCAAAACAGCTCAAAAACCCCTCTATCCTGAACCATCAGCCTGTAAAAAGACTTCAAACATGATGGCTATTCTCACTCTCAGTGTTGTGTGCAAAATGTGTAAGGCTATAATCGCCACTGTCACAACAAACCTGCATCACTATAAAGAGCTTCAAAAGGAATTACTATCATCACTGTCACAACAAAATCTCCACAATGGTAACTTTACAGGAGGAAGAAAAATATTTCTTAACTTGTAATGGAAGTTGTATGGATTGATTTTGCTTCCCCAAGCAATTCTGTAGCATTCTTAATGAAATTGTAACACAATATAAAGAGTAACCAAAGTTTTCCTTTATTAGTATTTTATTATTTTTATCTATTTTGCACTTTGCACAATAGTGAATAGTGCTTTTGTAATTTGAGTCCTACTTATTGCACACCCAGTCAAACACACTATTATGAACATAGTTTATGATGCTTGGATAAACTTTTATTGCTTCCCATATCATAACAACATCCAACAACTTTATCAACCACCACATTTTTTGTTTATATCATGCAGCCCTACTTCAAATAGAGACTGATTTTCCCAATCTGCACTCACAAACAGTTTGACAGTATTGAGGATTTATGCTGTGTGTGCAATAATAAACATACAGGTAAACTATTGCCCTCCTCAAGAAATAAGAAGCAACAATAAAACATGAGCTTTCTTCATACATCTTTTATATTGCTTTATCTGATTGTGTTTGAAGACGGGTATAAATCTCAGACTTCTGAATGTTTCAGTCTGATTATGATTCAGTGCATCATGATTTCACACCTTAATAATTTCACTTGATTATATTTGAAGGATTTAGAATTAGTTGAAAAAATGACTGAATTCACAGATGTAACTGGAAAAATATTAGGACAGTAGTGACATCATTGACAGTGACCTTTTTTCCTTTCTTTTGGGGGATGCATGTGATTTTGTTAGTAAATTTTATTTTGGCCAAAAATAAATTGCATAATTCAGGGAAAATATATTCACAGATGTGAATTGATTATTCTAACACTCCAAAATCAATGCAGTTACCATGCCACCATCAGCTTGATGTGTTTTTACACCCCTACAGGACATTGTGAATAATGTCGTCTTTCTCCAGACTCCACCAACAGAGGAGTTTTGATTTTCCAGCTCACATACGCTGACGCTTTACCAGTTTTACACTCATCTGCCAAACATGGTGGCAGTCTCCATGGAAACAATGAATAAACACAGCAGGAGTAATCCAGTGAATAACCAGTTTGGATATCTGATCATTATCTCTCTCTCTCTCTCTCTATCTTTCTCTGTCACTTGAGTCTCGCGCTGTTTCATTTTTTCTAACCTCTTCATCCCTGAGCAGTTTGTTCTCTCTTCTCTCTCCCTCATACACTCTCTCTGTTCTCTCTCTCTCTCTCTCTCTCTCTCTCTCTCTCTCTCTCTCTGTAGTAATGGCTCTAAAAATAAAAGTGTAAAAGTCAATCTGATTAATATTTGATTAGTGTTGATTTTTACAAATCCCAAACAACAACAAAAATACTGAGAGAGACAGATGGAGAGAGAGTGACAGAAAAAGATAGACAGAGAGAGTGAGAGAGAGAGAGAGAAGTAAAGAAAAAGAAAGGGATGTAGAGAGAGATGTTAAAACAACTGTTTCTAAGATGTAAACAGAGAGACAGACAGAGAGAAAGATGTAAAAACAGACAGAGAGAAAGATGTAAAAACAGACAGAGAGAAAGATGCAAGGAGTAAAATAAGAACAGACAGAGACATAGGAAGGGAGGGGGGGGAGAGAGAGAGAGAGAGAGAGAGAGAGAGAGAGAGAGAGAGAGAGAGAAAACAGATTTCTTCCAGCAGGGCTGTGGAGTGAGGCAGGGATGTAGCCTAACTTCCACTCCATACAACATTTACATAAATGATCTGGCAACAGCACTAGAACAGTCAGACACTGCCAGCCTAACTTTACACCACACTGAGATTGAGTGTTTGCTCTATGCTGATGACTTTGTCCTAATGTTCACCACAGAACAAGGCATACAGCAGGGTCTGCTAGTGCTGGAGCAGTACTGCCAGAACTGGGCTTTAACGGTTTACTTGAGCAAAACAAGAGTCCTGATTTTCCAAAATTTCAGATCTCAAGAAGATACCAGTTTACCTATGAAGAACAAACAACACCAGTTTCACTTACCCGAGTACTGAAATCAGCTCAGCGTGGAGTTTTGGCCTGGCTGTGAAATGCGTGAGTGAAAAGGCCAGAAGAGCCAAAGAACCAAATTTGAAAAAAATAAGCATTCCAACCAAAATCTGGATAAAACTCTTGAAGTCAACAATAAAACCTATTCTGCTGTATGGATGTCAATATGGGGACCAAATTTATGTCTGGACTTAAGAAACTGGAATAAAAAATCAACTGAAAAAAAAAATACAATTGGAATTTGCTAAAAACATTCTAATAGTGCACAGAAATGCCTCCAATAATGTCTGCGAAGCGGAACCAGGCCTTTACCCTCTACACATCAATATCCAAAAAGGATCTGTAAAATACTGGCTATCAATCAGTCAGGCTGATCCTAATTCAATAAAACATGAAGGCCTTTTGGTGAATCACCTGTCCTCAGAACCTCACCCACTCTCTGCCTGCTCAGCCAACAGCTCACCAAGCTTCAGCATCTACACTCGTCCTCCTAAACCCTCCACAAACAGCATTCAACTAATTACAAAACCCTTACTCTAAAATATAATGAAATTTGGACAAATTGGTTAAACCAGTGAGTAAAATCAAAATGGCACTGATCCCTAAATCACACTACCATCCTGGCACATTATCTAAACACAAAACAAGTGCAGGAAAGAAAAATCCTAACAAAATAAATGGTGGAGAAAGGACCACAAAACCTGAAGGAAGCCTCGAGAGGAGAGAACCCACAGATACTGCAGGCTAATGCAAACAGAGGACCAAACACATTTTCTCCTTCACTGCCCAGATCAAAAAGAGAAGTATTCTTTCAACAGTTTGAAAAAAATAATTAATGCATTTCCTTATTTAACACACTCTGATAAACTCTATGTTGCGCTTGGAGAAGAAGTTGAGACGACAACACTAGCAGCCAAACACATCTCAGCTTTACAACACTTCAGGAATGATCTTTAGAAATCTCTTAAGAAGCTACACTGATAACATTATCACTATGTCTTCTTAACTAT